AGAAGCTCAGAACAGTTGTGCTAACTGATGGCAGAGCCAGTAGCTGTGGTGAGAGCCTCTCCCAGTTGTAGGACGCTCGTGGTCCTCACTCCACACCTGGACATCCTCCCCTCTCTCAACGCCCCAGCGTTCTGGGCTGTGCAACACTTGCATGCTGGTCCAGCTGCATGCCTCACCTGGCTGGCTTCCAAGCTCGTTCACAAGCTTCACTGCCCCTGTTATGCACAGGAGGCAACCTCCAGCAGGGACCTTTTCCTGATTCCCAGACTTCCCAACAGGAAAGCTCTTACTCTGTCTGTGAGACGATAGGTCACTGCTTGTCTCTGCTGGGTCTGTATCCCTCCAGCTGTTATGGACCTCCCAAAATTCCTGGGAGCAAACACCTCTGCCCTGGAAGATGGTCCACTTCCCCAAGCTGTAGACTGTGGCATGGCTGCCCAGTCAAACCAGTGGTCAGGCTTGCTGGGTAGTACAGAAAGGCTATGTGCCTCTTCACTGAAAACCAGGTTGTCCCTGCCTACAGTTAAGCTTCAGGAAAGGGACCTATGAGCCAACAATGTGCCCTTGTTGCTAAGATGGTTAACAGCATACTGGGCTGCATTAGTAGGAGCGCTGCCAGCAGATCCAGGGAAATGATTATTCCCCTCTATTCAGCATTGGTGAGGCCACATCTGCAGTCCTGTGCCCAGTTTTGGGCCTCCCACTACAGAAAGGATGTGGACAAATTGGAGAGAGTCCTGTGGAGGGCAAAGAAAACTGTGAGAGGGCTGGGGTACATGACTTGTGAGGAGAGGCTGCGGGAACTGGGCTTATTTAGTCTGGAGAAGAGAAGACAGAGAGGGTATGTAATAGCAGCCTTCAACTCCCTGAAGGGTGGTGCCAAAGAGGATGGAGCTGGACTGTTCTCAGTGGTGGCAGATGGCAGAACAAGGAGCAATGGGCTCAAGTTGCAGCAAGGGAAGTTGAGATTAAATATTAGGAAGAATTTTCTCACGAGGAGGGTAGTAAAGCACTGGGACAGGTTACCCAGAGAAGTGGTGGAGTCTCAATCCTTAGAGGTTTTGAAGGTTTTGACATGGCTAGACAAAGCCTTGGCTGGATGATGTAGTTGGGGCTGGTCCTGCTTTGAGCAGGGGGTTGGACTAAATGTGACCTCCTGAGGTCCCTTCTGACCCTCATTTTCTATGATTCTATGACCTAGGGCAGGAAATGAATATGCAGTCTCCCACCAGAACACCTGCATCAAGCCTGGGTTCAATCTAACGGCAAGGCTATTCAAACAGTAGCCTGCAGCAGAAATCTGCTTGGGATAGGCCGGGCTGGGCAGATTCTCCATCCCCGTAGCTCCTGAGGTTCCCAGGTCTTTGCCCAGGCTCAGATTTTACTGAGAATGGTTCCTGGGGTGGGTCAGGTCAGTGCCCCACTCTGGCCCATGCAGAGCCTGAAAGCACCAAGCGTTCCCTGGGGTCTGAGAAGCAGTGGGGATACTGCAGAGTAAACCGAAGAGAGAGAGCAACCTTCACAAGTCAATCTCAAGAGGAAGAGCTAGGCTCACACAACTTGTGCAGGAAGATTGCAAGTTGCTGCTTGGAATGAGCCGTCGCAGTGCCTCTGTGGGAGCTGAACTCTCTGGAAATTCAGTCTTTTGAGGGAGGGGAGCGCGGGTCTCACTAAATTTAGAACAAACTAAAAAAAAAATCATAGGGTCTAAATTTAGTACAATATGCTTCATGTTGAGATCTCAGCTTGGTTTTGGCAACACATGAGATCCAGGCGGCTGCTGCTGCTCCTATTAACAAGGCATTGATTAATTTCAACTCTGATTGTATCAGCGTAGGCTTCAGGCACTTAATGCCGAACTTTTCAAGAGGAAACATCTCTGGGAGATTCACAGGTGAGGCGCTTTGCCTTGTGAGTCTCCGCTAACTTTCCACTGTACCAGTTTGTCTCCCTGCTGCCTGTCAGGTCCTTTTCTAGAGGTCTGTGACCCCTGTTTCCCCTAGCCTGACATACCTGCAGTCACAGGATCCTTGCTGCGTAAGCACTTTGGCTTCTGTTGGACACAGGGATGCATGGATTCCCCAGTGGTGCAGAGGCCGCTTCAGGGTCAGGGTTTCATAGAGCCCTGGATGATAAATCCAGACAGGACCACAGACCACTCTGACCTCATTCCTGGATGTGCACCTTGTTTCTGTATGTGCATCCAGGCTGGAGATTTCCCCAGAGGGCAACTCCGCCACAACCCAGGGTAAGTTGTTCCCTTTAAAACATGCACCCTTCATCTGCATTTGCCAGGTTTTAGCTCCCAGCCCTCAGATCTTGCTGTATTTTTGTCTGCACACTGAAGAGCCCTCCTCCATCCAATCCCTACTGCCCTTGTTGGTGCAGAGCAGATCATAGACTCATAGAAAAGCAGAACTAGAAGGGACCTCAGGAGATCATTTAGTCCAACCCCTTGATCGAGGCAGCATCACTCCTCCTGTCTAAACCATCCTCGACAAGTGTTTGTCTCACCTGCTCCTAAAATACATTGGGAACAACCCTTACGTACAATGGCCAGGCACACAGCTGAAACATTAGAAACACCTTCTCACTTACCCTGAGTATAGCAGGGGGACGACAGCATTGTAATCAAGTCAGTCATTAACCCTCTCTTTATTATGCTAGACCATCTGAGGAGACTCTTGGCCTGTTTTCCAGTCCATTAGTCATTCTCACAGCTGTTTTCTAAACCCGCTCTGGTTTCTCAACACCCATCTGGAAGTGGGGGCACCAGAGCTAACCATACTGTTCCAGTAGCAAGGATAGCAGTGCCAAAGACAGAGGAACAGGACCTGTTTTTCAGCTGCCACTTGTCTGTTGCAAGAGTTCCCGGAGACGCAAGCCGGGTGTCTTTGTCACCGCTGGGCCAGGTGTGTGTCGCAACCTTCAACAGAGCTTTATTGGGGCTGACAAATGGGTGCTCTATTTGCTAGCGGAGCTGGTGCTGGCTTGGAAAGGGTGAGAGCGAAACATCTGGCTGCTCTTTGTGAGTCACACGCTGACATTTCAGCCTCCGATGTCGCACGCAGGAAAACTCCTGAGGCAATAACAAGAAACAGAACCTGACACATTCCAGGCCCAGCCAACTGCTGCATTATTGCCTTTATTTGATGTAAAACCACATAAGTCAGGATTTACATATAAACATGTGCTACGTTACAGATCCACACCGTTCCATGCAGGGAGCCACAACAGCGTATGCAGGGGAGGAGAGGGCTGGGAGAGGGAGGGCAGGCCAAGCTCAATAGGATACTGGCAATGGTGGGGAACTGGGTTACTCAGCTGTCTGGGAGCCACGCAATGCCGTTAGAAGGATGTGCTGCCTGTGTGGGGGTGCCCCATGCCTGTTTACACACCTGAGCCTCTGTCACCAGCACTGGCCCAGCTCTAGTTAAAATGGACAGCTTGGCTGGTGTCTTGCTCTCCCAGCAAGGGGTTTCTGTTGACCCAGCACTGGCTGGGAGGGGAAAGGTGAGGGCCCTGGCTGCAGGCTCGTGCAAGGAGCCCTCCCTGTGCAGTGGGGGTGGTCTGTGGTGGGCACGAGGCAGCTCCATCCCTTTGGTGCCCCTCATGGCAGGGGGGGGGCAGTCTCAAGAGGCAGGGCTCCCTCTAAGCCATGTGCCCTCCTCAAAAGGCGGGCATGTCTGTCCCAAGTGTGGGAAACAGCCATATCTTTAAATTACAACAGGCTTCTTGGCATGCTGGAGATTAGCAGTGCCACTCTCCAGCTCTGTGGGAGCACGGGGGCCTGGCCAGGGCCACATCAGGCTCCATAATACATGGACAGCCTGGGCAGAGGGCATTGGAGGGAGACGGCTGGGCAAGGAGTTGTTGAAAGGAGTCTGCTGTGTGCCACGTGCAGAGGCAGAAAGCATGGCCATCTGAGGGCTGGGGTTGCTAGACTCCCTCCTTTCCCCATGGGGAAGCCCTACGGCCTATGCACTGAGCTTTGCTGCATCCCGGCCCCGTGCTGGCACATGGGGGAGAGGAGGAGGAGACGTGGCAGGGAGCGGAGACAGGAGATGCAGGGAGGGAAGGAGAAAAGCATGGAGGGTGTCATAAGGGAAAGTAACAGGAGCAGGGGCAGAAGTGGGGGCCCAGGGGCTGTGTCCTGCCACCGGCTCCATCCCTGAGGTGCTGTCAGTGTGGGTGATGGCCTTCACCTGCTCACAGCCCTGGGGAGCTATGCTGAGGGAGCCTGACCCACAAAGACCAGCACAGCACCACAGCATGAATCCCCTTCAGAAATACACAGGGCCTGTTCCTGCTGGGCTGCTGCCAAGCCCACCCTGCATTCGCACCCAAAGGCACCCATCAAATATGGGAGTGCATGGACAAAGTCACTCTGGGGCCACCCCTGGCACCCGCTTTCAGGCCCGCTTCAGGAGTGAGTGCAGAGGGACGAGCCGAGCGCAGCCTCCCCTGCTTGGGGCATTGGGTTGGAAAGGAAACAGCCCCAAGGGGAACTCAGGACCAGGGTTCAGCCCAGAGCCATTCCCCAGACCAGGCCCCTCCCGCTGATGGCTCGTGCCCATTTTACACTAAGAGTTGACACTAGCTCTGCTCACTTTCTACCGCCCCGTAATTTCCTTTCCAGTTCTTGGCTGGAAGAAGCAGGTGAACTTCCATTTATCGCACGGACACTAGCCCCAATTGCAGCCACAGAGGACGCACTCCCCTGCAGTGGCTCCAAAGAAGGGGGGTCTATTGAACCAGCTGAATGCCCCACGACCTGAGGAATGGGCACCTCTTTCCCCTCTCTGAATGACTTTGTGGGGCTCCGCGTCTGTTGTGCCCCCATGACATCCCCAGCACGTGTGCTCCATTGACAAATAAAAGGCCGGTTTGTCTCTCTGCCAGCTCCCGAGCTCAGCCAGGGCGCAGAGATCAAGCTGAGCTCTTCCTGGCTCCCAAAACACCCCCAGCCAGAGATTCTGCAGCTGGAACTCGGCTAACAATTCTGTTGACAACGCCTGAGCCAAAATAGACTTCAGCTCACCCTCTCCAAATGGCGTTGGGCTCTGCTGGGATAATTGAAGGAAAAAGTAGCAAACACTTATTTTTTGCTTGGGGTTATGAGCACATCAACTCTGAGCACACACAAGGGGCAGGGCTGTGGAATAAAAAGTTGCTATTTTTACACAGGCACCTTTCAGACCATAGTCACACTTTAAAATGATAATTTACAGCCCATGCCAACTGGGGAAGAGTGCCAAATCTGCTTATATAAGCCCCAGTGATCTCGTGTGTTTTCATCATACGCATTAAACGGAGAAGGTCTTTTACCCTGCCAGGAGCACTTACAGGCAAAAAAGGCTAGAGTTTCCTTTTTCTTTAACACTTCCAGAGGAGCAAGTATTACAGCTGCGGCCATTCGTAACATCCGGGAGGGGATTTGGAGAGAAAAGTATTGTTAATATTTCATGGTAATTAACATGTTTATTTCGGCACTGGTACTATACGCGCTTGTCTGCTACTAATTTACAAATATCAGTGTCTGGATAAAAGTAAAATGTATTTACACACTGCCAACATGCTACCGAGCCACTGATCAGTGTTCTCATCTGGTCACAGAGCCTGCATGGATGGAAAATCAGATGCTATTTTCCACTTGCTCAGTTGCTTAGCAAAATCCCTGGGCTATTTGCATTAGCTATTTACATTGTTCTTCCCTACGAATCTGTGCATGCAATTACATTGTAACGAATGCTTCAAATCATTATTTCAAACAGTCTTACAGTAATTGGGGGTGCGTGCTGGTAGCAGGGGATGCTACGGGCCAGATCCCTTCAGCCAGCCAAGCTGTGCTTAATGTCAGGCAAGTGACACAGCTGGTTTTATGTCTTGGAAAACCCTCGCATGGCTGGCACTCGGACTGGCTGGCATTAAAGGAGGCTGATGGGAATGATGTTGAGCGGGACCTGAGAGCCTTACCCCACAGGGCTCCTTCGGCAATCCCAGCCTATACTTCCACCGTCTTATATCAGATATGCAATTCAGTCTGTCTGGTCCCAGTGGTGATAATTCCCCCACCCCCATATCATGCCAAGTGACTGAAAAGCTTGATGTTAGCCATCATCATGATATGCACAATCCACTACCTGTGTCTGCACATAAGCTGTCAAGCCTCCCGCCTTTCACCTCTGTAAAAGAAACCATGCCCAGTGCTGCTGGAACCAGGTCAGAAATAGGAGACCCTGCCTGGGGTGGGGGTTGAGGCTCTTTTGCTTGGGCACTGAACAAGTGTGGATTCCAAAAATGAAGCCCCTTAAACTTCCATGGGTTTGGGTCAAACAACTGCTCCTGGATCCTGACCTGGCAAAGAGTTCAAGTATTTAATTCCCACTGAGTGCAACATGTGCTTAAATGTTTTACTGCTTAAGCAGCAACAACGAGCGATCATGCCAGCCATGCATGATATGACTGGCCTCAGTTCTCTCACCAGAGCTCTCTGCGCTCTGTCTGGCCTTTGGAGTGTCTAGGTCATTCCTAATACATACTTCCAGGTTGTGACAGTCTCTGGATCTCTGCAGGCAGCCTGCAGACCAAACACACCATATTCTGGAGAAGCTGGTATAGCCCCCAGCTCTGCTCTGGGGAGAACCCGCTGGAAACTGTTGATGACAAAGTGCTGCAGCAGGAGCTGCACCTCTCTTGCACAAGCCATCAGGCAAGCAAGGGGAGGGAGCAACTGCCTCCGAATTATGAAGCTGTTCCCATTCCACAGAAAAAAATCTAGAGATGGAAGAGCTGAGTCTCAACACCCCTTCTGCCTCCTTGGGGTTCACCCACCATGGCAATGAGTGTCACATGCCTCCTTTGTTCCCCGTGCCTATGGAACAGATTTTGTCCTTCCTTCCTCCCGATTCACGCCATGTTCTATAGTTGCACCCTTCCCAGCTTTCTCTCCATTGCCCTACGCCTCTACAGCACTATTTTCATAAAAGCCCCTTCAGCGTCACAGAAAAGGATTGTTCCCTCCTTGATCTGGGGCATGATGTGCAGAAAGCTAGAAAATGCTTGTTGCTCTCACGCAGAGTGGGCCAGTCTCATCCATGATGCAACTCCAAGTAGGCCCTCGCAACCGTAGCACAGGAGGAAACTGGCTCTTGTTTTTTTCAGAAACATTTCCCCATCAATTGCTAGCTCCTTTATAATTTGGAGACCCCGCATTACACATTACCTCTGCAGTCAGTCTCTTTGGACATGATTATTTCCCATGTGCATTCGAGCAACAATTCTTCCTCCTGCATATCAGAGTATGTTCTTGCCAGATGAATGCATTTCATCCCCTGCTTACATTTCCCATGGTATTGCTTCTCTGGCCTCCTTGGTCTTTGCAACCCTCTCCAGTCTGGTCAGTCTGGACATCTGATTCACAGAACATCTCCCCCCAGACTCTATACATTGCCATTAAGCATTAGCTGTTATTGAGTGTCCCCCAGGCAGCTCCCAGCCCATGGGACAGTTCCTAAATCCGAATTAATTGGAATGATCTTTTTCAATTAAGATTTCAGGGAACACCGACTAAGATGCTTTACAAAAGTCCAGACACCCGGTGCATTCTCTTAGTCACTCATTTTCTGCTTTTCCATTCCAAAGCAGTCGAGTCTGCCTGGCACAGCTGGTGCTCTGTACATGGTGCTTGGGGCTCAGGATTTTGAAATTGGTTGGGTTCTTAGATTTCTCCTTTTGAACCCTCTCTGGCCTGAGTGGTATTTGACAGCCAGTGAAAGGGCCTGTAGATTGGTTGCTGAGGTGTTGTTTCTGTGCTGTAGCAGGAAGGGAAAGAAATGGACCTTTTATTCACAAGTGGTGCCACTTCTGAGAAGGGTGGCCTGCATGGTTAATCTTTGCTCTGCTGTTTGACCACAACTTTAAGTGAGATGCAATACCAGATGAAAGCTGCCATGGTTGCTCCTCCTGGTTTTTGGAGGGTTCATATCTTAGCTTTTTCCTCCAAATTCTGCTTTACCTCCTGCCTCTCCAGGACAGGTGAGGAGTAGTTGTCAGGGCTTGGTAGGACATTAGAGGATTCCCTCGTCATCTCCCCATCACACTGATCTCTAGATCTAGTTTCCATTTCCTGTGGAGGGGTCTCTCGCCTCCCCGTGGTCAGCAGCTTGAGAATGGCATCACACGCAGTGTCCTTGCCTCTCTCCATGGCACTTTCAGAGCCATAGGGGTCACCAGCAGCAGTGTTCGATTTTCCTGTGGTTTTCCCTTGTCTGTAACATCCTGCTTCTCCCCTCATTCTCACCACCTCATACCTTGCTGGCAGGGCAAATACATGGAAATATGGAGCCACCTCTCCACCACTGTCCTCTGGAACAATCCCTTCCATTAGTGCAGTGAGACCCTCTGGCAGGTCTAGCCGTGCCCTTTATGTCACTCTCCCAACATATCAGTATTTCCAGTCTACACTGCCTGTTACCTGTGCCCCTTGGATTTTGGTATATGCCCAAGACAAGGTTAGTTAATGTCTCTCAACTTCAGCTGGAGAGTAGCTTTATCTTCTACTGTAGTACTCAGCCAAGGAGACTATACCATATCAGAGGAGATGCTCCCCTTTCAAAACCCACTGAACTGACTCGGCTCACTTTGCTTCCAGCTGTGTACCTGGAGCCTGGCTGCTGGCCTTAAAGTCATTTAAGGCTGGCTCAGGTCACACCCTCCTCTCTCCCCTACCCATGTCCTGCTCAGCTGGTCTCCAGGCATGAGTCTTGTAGGGTGGCATAGGTCACCAGGTCTCCAGGCCTCATGCTAGACAGATAACACTATGCTTCAGTCTGTTTGCTCATGTAGTTTGCTCATTGTGAGGAGCACAATGAAAGGACATCCCCAAGCTTCTTTAGGAGGTAGGGGAACATCTCTTGCTCTGGTATCCAGAAGACTGCAGAGCCACCCACTTCGTCTGAGTGGCTCTGGTGCAGCCCAGTGGATCTATCTTCTTCCACTCTGGTGATGCCTGTCTGCTCTTCATTTTCTCAGACTGCCCCCTTCCTGTCTTGCAGGGATGGCTGGGCTCGGGTTGTGCAAGCATCTCTGGGGCTGTGTTTGCTGCTGTCTCCTTGCATGCATCTCATGCATCTCCATCTGGCAACAATGGTACCTTTCTTGGTGCATCATGGACAGGCCCCTCTAGCTGTCCTTTCAGAATGGAAACCCACCTGCCCGGGGATGAAAGAAGAAAAAGGCATCTTGCTCATCCCAGCCAAAGGGCCTCTGGAAGCCAGCTGACATCCTGCTGATGCAAGAAATGTCCTTTCCCTTTGCTGCACCCGTCAGGCCTCCAGTGAGGGAAAGATGAATGATTTTACTGCCACCTATTTATGGGACTTTTCAGTTTAATACACCCATTCCTGCCAGTGTGGATAAGCTCAGAAGCAGACCCCTGCAGTGCCATCTGCCACTTGAAGTGCAAGTGCGTCATTTCACAGTTTTAGTTTACCCATCACTGCAGCATCAGCGCACCTTGGAGAAGGACAAATTGCCCTCATCGGGTCCATTGCATTCTGACTCTGAAACCTAATGATGGCAATCACCCATCTGCACTGCTAATACTTCTTCCTCTCACACTGCTATTTGCTGAGGAGCCTGGCACTGCTGTTCTCCCCAGCTGGTGTTCCCTGGTATGGCCAGGAGAAGGTAACATGGGAACAGAAATGAACCACCACCAGGTGTTCATCTGCTCCATGGCTATAGGAGGGGAGGAGAAAGCCCCTTCCCCTGGAAGTGTTGCTGTCCAGCTTCTTGGAGCTGCTTTGGTGTCTTCTGAGCAGTGACCAGTGGCCCTCTAGCTCCTGGCTTCCTTGCTCAATACAGCACACTGTGGAGGGAAGCCTGATTTGGGAAGAAGTAGAGATAGTGTTGTCTGGCAGGCAGAAAATCAGCAACTTCCACTATGTTCCAAGCCTGGAGATGGGGAGGAGAGGCTTGGGACAGGGGAAAGAAGCTTACTCTGCTGGTGACCAGACGGGGGGAGATGCTGGAGAGTGGGGAATGATTCCAGGCTCGCTCCTTCTGTTCGCCATGGCTCTGCCTCTCTTCAGACTGTCTAGGGAAAGCCCGAGTTCACAGCCCAGCTGGGCCAGCCAAGCCGCACATGGCTTCAATCCACATGTATTAGCAGAAACTCACAGGCTGTATCAGTTCACTGCTTTCCCTGCACCCACATGCTGTTTCCACGCTTGGCACATGAGCTCTGCTCCTCATGGTCCAGCGCCCTGCATACCCAGATACCCTGCAACCATCAAAGTGAGAAGGGAGACAGCCAGAGTGCCTGGGGCAAAGTCAGCAAATGGCATCAGGTAGGTTTTTCATAGTCTTGCTCCTGCTATCACAGCCTCGCCCAGCACACCACTGGGATAGTTTGGGCACAGCTGGGTTACCCAGAAGGCTCAGTGACATTCTTCCTGCTGTTTGCTGGTTACAGTGCAGAGGTCCATGAGCTCAGACTGCCGTCTGTGTAACTCAGCCTCCTGGGAGTAGGAAAGGGGCTGTGGTCTCTGGCTACCCATATCTGTCTGCATTCCAGCTGGGGGAGCTTTATTCCACAGTCCAGGATTTACAGCGGTGCCTTTCCTGGCTGGGGTGACATCCTGCACTAACAGAGATTGCCAGCACCTCCCTTTGTCTGGCACGCAACTCGTGGCTTAAGCTCAGCAGGTTGCTACCCAACATTGGCAACAGAGTTCATCATGTCCAGAATCTCAGCTCTTTGTGGTCCAGTCATGAAGAAGCCTGTGGAGTCTTCTCACAGTATATAGACTCCTCATCTGCCCTTGACCCTTGTTAGCGGCGTTCCAGCCTAGATCAGGAATGAAGCCTGTTGGTTGTCCTCTGGGAGGGAAGCGGATCAAGATATTCAGGCTGTGTTACTACCACCCATCAGCTGCATTTTGCAGAGTCCATCTACAGGTATTTTGAGCCTGCCCACAAGCAAGGTCTATGCTGTTCTCAGGGAGACCCTGGCCCTCCTTGCCTCAGAGACCTTTCACAGGGAGCAAGGGCAGTGGCTTCAACTTGCTGACACATTTCTTTGCTAGACAAGGCAATCGGCAAGAAGTGGCTTGTCCTGGACTGAACACCATGGAGGGCTGAGAGAGGCCCCGGGAGGATCCCATTAAGCTGGGGTGAGGTGGTAGATGAACAGCCTGTGTGAAAAACAACCTCCGTTTGGACCCGTGCCTAAACTCCATCAGCCTGGTGCACTTGTCCCAAGTCACTTCTCTGAAGTAGGGTCTCCAGAGACAATAAATCGGAGACGTTCAGAGTTGAGTGTGCAAAAAACCAGTTTATATATGAGGAGAGGCTGGAAAAGGGCCTTTTTACCTTAGAATGGGGAAACCTCGGGAGCTGCTTGTGCGGCGTACATCACCATGAAAACCTAGCAGGGGTCTTCTGCTCCTGGACCATCAGGACACTTGGTTCAATGTAAGGTCACCCTGTGGAGGCCGTGGGGAAACCACCCAGGCAACTAGTTAGCAGAATTCCAAAGAAAGTCCATTTTCTTTCCAAACCAGAACGGCGCTGACTGCTTCCTCCCCAGGGCCAGCACTTTGCAAGGAATGTGTCCCCTCTCCCACTTCTGTTCACACCCATCACCACAAAGGCAGCACAACTGCTCAGGAGCAAGAGTTGGGTTATTTTCTCTTCCTTTTGCCCTCCTCTCCTCTCCTCTTCCCCTCAAAAACACTAAGTCATGTTCAGGAGCATTTTACCAGCCTGGAGGGAACTAGAAAGCACCACTTCCCAGAAGAGGCAGAGAGCTCCCTGGCCAGCTACTGCAGTGCATCTCTCCGTAACCATGCAGATGGATTCATGCAATGCCCAGTGGTGCCTTCCTGCTTTCCTAGCATATTTAAAGTGTTTTCCCTAGGCAGGAACTCCTCCTCTTCCCATGTACTTGGCTGGGACAGGGACACACCTCAGGATTGATGGCTTTTGTCCTTTCCCACAATTTTAAGGAAGAGGAAGATTCCACTTAGCTACTCTGTGCAGGGGCAAGTAAGGAAGACGCTTGCACACCAGTGACAAGTGTGGTATCCCGGCTCCCAGCAGCAAGTGGCTCTCCCTGCTCTTTCCTGGAGCTGTGGTAACACAAGCCCCTTGCTGGCACTGTCCCACAATGTAATGGCTAGAACCAGTGCCAGACACTGCTGCAGAGAGCCGTGAGTCGCAGCATAGTCAGATAGAGCCTGATGTTGCCCTATGGCCAAGAAACACTTGGAGAAGAATGGCCAGGCCCACATGCTTTCACTGGGCAGTACCAGTTCTCTCCTGGCTGTGCCCGAGTGTCTGCCCTTACTTGTCCATGTGCTAGCGAGAGCAGGACAGTCAGATATTGAGGAAGCTTCCCTCCCACAGCTCTGCCCGGCAGGACTCTGCCTACCTACCAACCCCACTACAGAGTAGAAGGAGACTAACAGAGAAGAACTAAGACTTGACAGCAGATCTCCAGAGCTGGGAGGTATAGAAACAGGTAGCTCCTGTGTCAGAATCACACACACCCAACTTTGGGTTGCTTGGCTCCCTTTGGGGTGAACTCATTACATTTCTCCCCTGCAAAGTCGGGCTTTAGAAAGCAAACACAGCTTTCTGCCGGGCTAGCTCTGGGCTTGCTTTGGTTTCATCCCCAGGCTTCGTGCACCTTCTAAAGCCATTCAGGTGCCTGCTGCTGGTTGTGATGATACTGCACATGGAGGTAACCATGTTCCATCCAAAATCTGGCTTGGGCTGGGTGTCAGTGAACTAAATCAAATCTCGTGAAAGGGCAGCTGGGTTTTCTCCTTACTCAGAACAGCCAACAAGAAGGGAGAAATTTCATTCTTGTCGAACTCTTTCTTATTTTAAAAAAAAAAAGCAAGAAAGGCATTTGTTAAATAAATATATAAATAAAAACACAGATTTGGGGGTCCAAACTTGGACTCAGCGATTCAGGGTCCACAGAGGCAGGCAGCTGTGCTGAAAGGACCAGGTTCAAGTCATTACACATCCCAAGCAGAGACACTCAGTTTACCCTGAGTTTGTTCTCTGTACCCAAAGAAAGGTCTCTCTCTTTTGCAGCCGCCCCCATCCCTTCTGGCTCCCTCTTTCCAAGGATCGCTTGCCTCTGAATAACAACCTCGCTTCTGTTTTTTCAAAGAAAAGCTAGTCGAGGGGGTTGAAAGCATGTTATTACAACTGTTTGAGAGACGACGGCCAGCCTCCCAGCTCCTCTCCTCGGTGTTCTCTATGCTAAGAAAATAAATAGCCTTTTGAACGTGTAGGATTTGGTGACCACAGGGACAGTGCAGCCAAACACAGCGTCATCTGACAGGACTAAAAAATAAATAAGTGAAGCCTGGCTTCCATGTTCCCTCTGTGCCTTGGTAGGGGGTAAGTTATTTAAATAAAAGGACAGAAGCCAACTCTCCTTTGCAGCGTCATGCCAGATATTATACTTCATCAGTTGCAAGCTGCCTTTGTTTGTTCACTTTGGGCCCAGTTGAAGAAGGCTGACATTCACTGAGGATCGTCTTGAAAGATCCCAAGCTTCGTCATGGACAAATCTTTTCTGTGGGTCCCAGAGATTTTATTTCCCCTCCTCAGTTTCAGAAATGTTGGGGAAAATGTCTTTTTAAACTACCCATGCTCTGCCTGCCTGCAGTGTTGTGAGTGTGTGCGTGTACATGTGCGCAAGTGTGTAAAACTGCAGACCACGTCCCATTTCCAGTGGTCGCATCCTGTGACCGGCAATGCTGTTTCCCATCAAGTGTTCAAGATGCTGCCTCTGATCTGAGGTTTCCACAGAAGAAAGAGAAGTAAGGAAATCAGGAGAGATGAAGGTTTCTAATCCACTGGGTTTTGTTGCGACAGTTGCCATCAGGATGCAGAACCACTGCTTCTGAACCGGAGTTCTCTGCTCAGGTACACATTAGTCTCGAGTTCGGTTTCTTCTCCTCAGAAAGAAGAAGCTGCTCTTCTGGGGTGGGCCCAGCAACATTGGCACTTGGCTTTTGTGGGTGATTTTTATCTAAAGAGAGAGGGAGGGAGAGAGAGAGAGAGAGAGAAAACGAATGAATAGTTAACCTGTGAAGCAGAGAACATCTGACCGGCTACTTCCCTGCAGGTACCCTGCCATTTTAGGCACAGGGTCTCTATTACCTGAGATAACATGACAACCACCACCTGGCCTGGCAGAGACTGGACTAGTAACCTGCCCTGCTGGGAGCTGAGCTCAAGACCTGGGTTTGGGAGCTGAGAGCTCTACCAGTCTCACGTCTTCTGTGGAAGGAGCAGCAAGGGGAGCACATGACACACCCTGCGCACAGCATGACTGTAACGACTGGGGCCAGGCAGCTTGAACCTTCTTCAGACTCATACTCATGTCATTGTCTTGGTGTGTGCTGATGGGAAGTCTCTGCAGTTGCAGTTGCAGGCTGAGGAAGTCTCTGCTGCGAGAGACTTTCTCAGCCTGATGAAGCGTTTTTAAACCCAAAAGCTTGCTAAAAAATTTTTTCCAACTATTTAAGTTGGTCTAATAAAAGATATCAGATTCACCCGAAGAACCTTGTCTGCCTATGTCCTTAGACTAACACGGCTACACCCTCCACCCCTGTTCCATTTACCAGAGCATGCGGCCAGGTTCTTCTGAGTAGGACAGAAATGCCCTGCCTGGCTGGTCTGTTTGCATGCCACCAGCAGGCCCCCAGACCATGAACTATGGGGTCTCTGGGGCTGCTTTGAATCTTTCCAGGGCCTTTGCTAGGGACACTCCAACTTGCACTCGGTTTGGCTCCACTTCCCCCTGAGCCAGAGACTGAAGCAGCCAGAGCCCATTCCCCAGGCACTGCTGTGAAATCTGGTGACAGTCATCTCTGCAATCTCTAGTGCAGTCGCTGCAGTGAGTCTAACATGCGGCAGGGACAAAAATAGCAGGTTGCCAGGCTCTGGTGCCACCCACCAGGAAGCTCAGAGGCATTGCTGTGGATTCAGAGGCTTGATGGTATGGCGTGGGGAGGAGAGCCGGATACTGCTGTGCAGGCAGGATGGGCCATGGCGTTCCTGTTCGCACAAGCAGGGGCCAGTGCCTCGGGGGGAGGGGGCTGGATGGCACTGGCAATGCATCTTGCCCCCTGCGGGGATCGAGAGGGTGAGGGGACACAGCCAGGTCTGGGCAGGCTGCTCAGGGCGAGCACTGCGTCCACACAGCCCTTCTGGGGTGACACTCCCAGCTGGGGCTGGTCCCAGGGGAGGAAAGAGTCTGCCATGGCTCATTTACAGATCTGCCTAGTCGGACTTCACTAAAAAGAATATGGTCATCCAACCCAACCCAGAGACATAGACCATGACCAGGTGTCTGTGGTCAGCCTACGTATTCCATTATCCCGAGCAGTAGGAGGAAGAGATTCCAGAAGACCCAGGTGTGCGGGGTCCCAGGCCCCACTGGAGACCCCCCACAACTGTACCCCAGGCTTCGGCCTCGGGCACCATAGAGAGCCCCGCTTCAAATGCAAGGGCCCTGGGACTGTTGGTCGGTCACACCTTAGATCTTTCTTTGTTTTTTAAAATGTAATCCCAGCTGATCTCTCATAGCCTTGGGAAGTGCGGCAGCTTCATGGTGCTCAGGCCTGAGGGGCTTGTATCCATGGGCATGAGAGAAAGATGCAGTCACACAGTGTAACCTAGGAGGACTTTGCTGGGAACCTCCTCCACGTCACAAATTCCCTCACAGAAAAGACAACCAAAGCACCGGCAGCCACTGTTGATGTGGGACCCTGTCCCTCCACTCCTGCTGCTGCCCCTCGGATACTCACGGTGCAGGGCGGCTGCATCCAGGGCTCCCCGTCCACCTGCATGGGCAGCAGCTTAGTTGTCCTGGAATCCGCAAACAGACAAGACATGGGGTGAACACGACACAGGAGCAGGTAGGGGCTGGGCACTGTACAGGGATCAGACACATCTCCTGTATGAGCCCTTTGGGAACACACGGGCTACTCAGGCAATTGCTCGTGCCACACACTCGGTGCTCTTGTGGGTACGTAACAGACACAGCGACGGCTGCTACGCCTTGGACCTGAGGCATCATGCTGGTGAGGGTAGCTGATAACCCACCACGTTTTATGAAACTACTGTGTCCAATCACTTTCTCTGAACAACAGTCTCTCTCTTGCCCAGTTTTTTTCCACTCTGTCCCAGCCCCCACCTGAATGCCCTTCATCCTACTACTGGCTCTGATGCCCATGTGGGATGAGACACTACAGAGACCATAACATCCCATGGGGTTGCATGGATGAGGGGCACCCAGAGCACAGGGCCTGGCTTGGTTGTGAAGGGTGGGAGAACTAGGATTTAAGCCTACAGAGGGGAAGGTGTATGGGATTCAATTGAATGGGGCAGATGCTGGGATCTGGGGCTATGGGGAAGTACAGTTGTGGTGGGGGGTGTTAAGCTATGGGGAGATGTCTTAGTTGTTTTAGGAAGGAGTGAAATCCAGGAGCGCGAAGGAAGGCTGAGGAATCCTGTGCTGCTACAGGTGGAGCAAACCACCCTCCCTCTGGAAAAGGGCCAAGGCGTCTGGCTCCGAGGAGACGGGTCAAAGATCTAAGCCAGTCCTTGTAGCTCCTGCCCTAGGACGGGCAGGGGGAGACAACAGCACCAATGAATTGGAGGCCTGAGATAATGAGCTGCATTTCCACATCCCTTTGTACCAAGAGAAGGAGAGGTATGGGCAAGGCGGAGATAATGATGGCCTCGCACAAAGAGCTGTTTATTGATGGGAAGCAGGAAAGGGGAGACTGAACATGCACAGGCAACTCCTGGAGTCTGCCCACAGCACAGGCTCCATCCTAGCACCCAAAGGCCCACTGACTCCAACACAGGTTTTGTCCAATGGCTGCAAAAACAGGTGCAGATTACCTTGAGTTATTGAGATAAATGAAGGTGAGGATCATAAGCACATTTGCTACCTCATGGAAGCTGCCTGGTGATGGGCTCTTACCCCACGAAGTCATAATAACTTAGCCCTCAGTGACAGTCCCCCTTAGCTTTCCTGTATGGCTGGGGGACAGCGCGCACAGGGGCTCCTCCCGCTGGCAGGAGATGTGCTGTAAAACACCTGCTCTCTTTGCCTGCCAGTATCTTTACCCACAACCTGAGACCTTCAGGACCTGACCTATGCCACTGTGTGGGGCCAAGGGACGCACTGAGTTGCACAGAAAACTAGCTAGCAGCTACCACAAAAACACCCACAAGTGCCTTCAAATAGTCATTGAGAACCAGGAGGGGAGCAGGGGCCTGGGGAATATGATGCAGAATGGTTTTACAAGTAAAGGCAGAAGAATGGCTTCTTGTGGAGCTGCTCAGTAGCTGTAACTTCAAACACTCGCAACAAATATGGAGGGGCTCTGTGATCAGCTGGGGGTGGCAGCATGAGGAGCAAGAGACAGGGCTCATGCTAAACACTGTCATGGTTACTTATATGGCAGAAGTGCCTGGGAACTGCAGTGATGGGCCAGGAGCCTCCTGTGCAAGGTGCTGTACAAGTGCTCAGATAAATCACACTGGTCGAACAGATGTGTTGGAGCCAGGGGACAGATTGGGATGGGAAGCAGGGCTTAGAGCACAGACAAGTGTGGTGACACTGTCATGTTTCTATTATTATGTTTTAACAAAATCAGAGGTACAAAACAAGTTCAGGCAGGTGCTGGGGGCTCGGGCAGGTACCTGATGGTGACGGCTGAACACTGAGCCAGTCTCTTGCCGGCACTCTTCAGTCCAGTGTAGATCTGCCCCATCTCCATTGCCCCCTCGAGACCCACCACTTCCAGGAGCTGGTCACTGAGGTCTGGGAGGAAAGAAAGGCAAAGATGCAATGCGGGGTATGACACTGTCTGCTCCAGGCCCAGCACTGGCCCCAGCTGGACACCTGCTCCAGAAGCAGCTTTCTACTCGTCCTCTGGTCCTGCATGAAATACTGTCACTCATTACTACCCATACCCACTCACTAATGAAAGCAAGGCACTTTTCAGCATGGTTAGCTGCACATTGGTTCTGTTGTTCACAGACACCTAATGGGAGGGGGAACTTAACAGCAACTGTCGCTGCACTACAGGGACAGGTGGTGAAGAAGAAAGCTTGGCCCAGGCACAGTCCATAGCCTGTAGGTAACTTACATTGGAATATAGCCTGGATGCTGAGGACAGCAGCTCTTTTCTTTTAGAAAAAGCCAGGAGTCCACAGCAGAGCCAGGCAAATTCTGTGAGGGAGTATGTACGAATGTTCACTTCATTTAAAGCCATGAGTGAGTTGGGATGGTCTCTGGGAGCTCAGCATACAGGGAGAGAAAGAATTTGCTACAACCTGTGTCTGGACTAACCCCACCACCTTCCCATTTGCAGGGAAGGAAGAGCAGTCCCCCACACTAGCCCCTGTGGTACTGGGGCCGTTATAGCACTACAACAGAGGAAATTACCCCCAGAGGCAGACCCTGGGGGGTGCAGTGCTGCAGTTGCATCCCCCTTTGATTCCTGATCCACCCAAAGCTTAAAGCCAACTGCCTGGCAGTGGCAGCAGTATTTCAGGTTAGGCAGCACTGAGGGAGTTGCTTGACTTCATGGCTCACTGTCATCTATGTCATCCCTTCTAAACTCTTCATTTGCCAGGTGTTAACGACCCTCTCTTCCTTTTAATAGTCTTGTACCTAGCAATCGGGTTGCCCTTTGTTCTGCAGTGCTGCTGTCTGCTCCCTGCTCCTGGTACTGAAGCTCCTATTTCACAGCCTTGCAGCTTGTTCTTAGCTCGTCCCAATGAAGTTCTACTTATTTTTACTTCAATCTTAAACTGAATAATCCAGGCCTATGCCCCATGCAATATTACTACAGCCTCTAGTTTCTTCTTAGCTGGAGAAAAATGTGTTGTGTTGTACATGATGATGCACTTCACCATCTGCAACCCCTTTTCAAAAAGATCTACCCACAATTACCCCTGAGCCAGACACAGCACGCGGCTGTCCATAAGCACATGCTGTCTCCCTCACATGCTGGAGCAAGGCAGAAGTGCGAGGAGATGGACTAGAGATCGGCCCACTGCCATGGTAGCAGGTCCCAGCACTGAGGGAGCTCAGCATGTCCACAGGCACATACCAAACCCAGAGGTACATCATCTGCTCTCAGGCCTGCTGGAGATGGAGGGCTTGAAAAAATGACCCTGAAGCGCTGTCACTGATGTACTTCAGGGTTTGGAGTGCACCCATGGGGTTGGTGAGATGTGCTCGGTCCCCCTGGAGCACCGAACCGTCCACTGTGATGGCGCAGACCTGCCCAGAGCAACCCCAGGCTGCAGCAATTTATGCTGGGGTGTGATTTGGTTCCAGGAGCAACCTTGTCAGCTGCCTCTGCACCCTACCCAGCACCAAAAAGCACAATGGACTCAGGCCCTGATGCAGGACAGCAAATGTCTGCAGGTAGCCAATGTAGGTTGCAGAGCTTGGAGGTTGGGAGAGTTCTCCAAGTTGCATGTGCCCAAGTACATGTGCAAGGCAAACAAAGGCAAAGTTAGCTTGGCAAGAAAAAAAATAGCTGCTGGAGAAAGGAAAATAAAGACAGGACTCCTTCTCGGGTGACTCAGCCAATCGATATCAAAACCTTTATCTTGCTCTTTCTTGGCTCTTTCTCATTCCCTCCTGGTTTTCTCCCATCACTCTTTTTATCTGGGAACAGAGTATGTCAGCCACACGTACAGCATGAGGGCCATCACCTAGAAACCACAGCCTCTGAAGACTTGGGTGTCACAGTGGAAACCAGCTGAACATGAGCTCACAGCAACAAGACTTACAAGGGAGTGTCCATAAAGTGTGGCCAAGTGGCTTTGTTTCTGCCCGGAGTGCTGGTGAGAGCGTGGCAGGAATATGGTGTTCAGTTTGAGTGTCAGAGGGAATGATGAAAAACTGGAAGGGGCTGAGTGAAAAGCTACAAGAGTGACCGGCCATCAGGAAACCCACCTGTCAGAGAGAAACTAAAAAAGCTCCAGCTCTTTCATTTGTCAAAGATTAAGTGGAGGGGTAACTTGACTGTGATCATAAGGTACCTCCTTGGAGAGGTCTCTGACAGCAGAGGACTCTGTAACCTAGAAGGTAAAGGCAGAACAGGAGCCAGTGGCTGGAAGGAGTCACTGGGGAGGCTTTCTGGCCTGTGTGGGCAGGTCCAAGGAGATGACCATGATGGGCTTGTGTGACTTTACTGCTGTGAAAGTATCTGATCAGGCCTTTGTGTTTCTTGGTCTCTACCCAGCCCCGGCATTCAGTCAGCACATGGAATTGTTTTCTGGGCCAATGGAAGAGGCACCTTGACTGCTGCTCTCTCCTACAGAATCGCTTCTTAGAGGTGCCCTGCTCCCTGAGAGATACTCCAGGTCCCCTCAAGCAGCAAGGAAAGTACATTCCTCTGCTACATATCGATCAGAACTGGCAAAGTATGGGAGCCTCCAAGTCCTCAGTGTCCGTGATGCATCAATACACCTTTCCTCTAAGGTCAAAGCTCCATGAGATGCATGGGAGTGCTGACAGGCACTACCATCACAGATTATGCTGCACCTAACACCTGGCTTTTTCTGTGGCCTGGTCCACAGAGCTCCTCTCCCATGAATCCTTGGAGGAAGTGGTCCCTCCAGTCCTGGCGGCACAGAAAAGTGGCTACTGCTGGATGCATGACGATGGGAAGCTGCCCATGATGCTCCTTACCCCCTAACACACCTGAGCAAGTCTCCTGGCCCTGTGAAGCCAACTACATCTGTGCAAAGGGACCATGAAACAGATATATCATTCAACCCAGTCAGAACAGTTGTGCCTCGCACCATGGGGACAACACAAAGCAGGAGAGAATCAGGCCTGGAGGATTGGTACCTAGAAGTGAACTTGCTTTCATGTTTGAAGGCCCACTTTTTGGCAGTGAGTCCACCCCCTAGAACGGGTGACAGAAACACTCTAGGCAGTTCTCCACTGCATTCCCTACTTCATTTGACTCTCAGTGGCTTCGTCCAGCCCAGCTGTAAGTGATTTCAGCGATCGTGTCCTTCAGAATTGGGTATAATGGCAGCTCGCATGGGAACCATGCGAGAAAAGGGCTGTGCAGCATAGTGCCTTGCAGTTCTATCCAGTCAGCATATCCTTGTACTGCACTTGCGAAGATCTGACTCTTTTGCTAATCAGACAGGTGAATTACAGCTGCTGTTCAGTGCTCCACGTGACCCAAGCCCTGCCTGGGCAAGCTGGAATGCCGTCTCTGCTCATCTCCAGCATCTGATTTCTTTTCCAAGCCCGCGGCTGTTCACACTTGACAAAGACAGAGACACATTGTCTTGTCTGAACTCTCAAACCAAAGCTCCCATGGTGTGGGGGATGAAATGCTGATGTTATTCTGGAAGGATTTTTAAAGGCAGGGTTTAAAAAAAAGGTGCAGCTTGTAATAGCCTAGAGGAGGCTAACGCAGCTCTGCTTGGGAAGGTGCTTTGGTTTCTCTATAGTGGATGGAGGGGCTGCAAGGAAGAAGGGGATACAGAGGGAGGGAGAGGTGGAAAACTAGGAGAGATGGAAGACAAATGCTTATTTTCTGTGCATGGTACGTTCTGCTCATTTTCTGGTCAGACCAGATCCTGCTGTAGCTGTGAAAGATTCTCTCTTCCAAAACCAGTATGGATGCACAGCATCACTACTGTCCTCAGTCTGCAGGGTTCAGGGGCTCTGGCCCCAAGAGCTGGATCACTGACAGTCCTCTGCAGAAAGCTGGGGGAGCAGGTTGGAGAAGAGGATTGAAACCAACTTTTCTCAAATGGGACATCTTAGCCCACAAGCGCAGGCTTACTCTGGCTACCCTGGGTTGCTCAGGTGGGAGGGAACAGCAAGATCTGCTCTACAGGGAAACCCCTGTCAAAGGAGAGCTGTCCAATGGGACACTGAAGCCTAAGCACTCCTAGACCAACTGCCCTTCTACTCCCAGGGCAGAGGATCGGAGAGGTGGACTGAGAGTGCATGTGCACTCCACCAATTCTCGCCCGGGGACCGCAGTCAGCTGGGGGCAGTGAGAGGAACCCCTTCACTGCTCTAACATTGGCTGAAGGGCTGCAGGTAGCCTTCCACTCCCTGCAGGGGGGTTCCAAAGAGGATGGAGCTGGACTGTTCTCAGTGGTGGCAGATGACAGAACAAGGAGCAATGGGCTCAAGTTGCAGCAAGGGGAGTTGAAGTTAGATATTAGGAAAAGCTTTCTCATGAGGAGGATAGTAAAGCACTGGAACAGGTTACCCAGAGAGGTGGTGGACTTTCCATCCTTGGAGGTTTTTAAGGCCTGGCTAAATAAAGCCTTGGCTGGGATGATCTAGCTGGGGCTGGTCCTGCTTTGAGCAGAGGGCTGGACTAGATGTGACCTCCTGAGGTCCCTTCCAGCCCTCATTGTCTATGATTCTAATATGCATTAGAAGGTGCCACCTGAGAGCTTCCCTATGCCTGGTGCTTCTCAATAGGCCAAAGTGATGTGCTCTTAGTGAGCACCAGAAATGGGCTTGAGGTGTTTTGTACCAGCTGGAGCATCTTCATGGTACATG